TCCTGCATTCAAAAATATCTATCATTTATATACTCCACATTTCTGGTTTTTAGCATGACTACACTGCATAGTTATCTAATTTATGTTGTAATATTAGAAATTATCTAAAGATTTTATTTTACCACTAATTTAGGCATTTAGTCTAGTGTTTTGAACTATCAACCGAAAGTTTAACCAGGCTAATCCGGGTAGACTTCCAGGTATTCCTAGCTAATCGCTAATGTTTGTTTACATTAAGTAAAATAGAATGTGGTCAATCTGATTTTACCCGATGTAAACAAACATCAGCGATTGGCTGGGAATACCCAGAAGTCTATCTGGATCAGCCCCGGTTGAACTTTTGGTTGACAGTTCAAAACACTAATATAGTCATATAGTATTTATTTAGTCAACTATTTAGTTATTTCGTCAAATTTAGAATTTTGATATTTCAACAAAAAATAATGTCATGTTGAAATATATTTTGACACAAAATTGTTTAAATATTTGATGAAATAGGATATTTTGACTAACAACAAAGATTACGCAGGATACGATTTGCTGTATTTTGAATAATTTCTTGTTGTCTGGCAGGCAAGGTTGGCAATAGAGCCAATAGAGTTAAATAGTTATGTAAATAGAGTTCAAAAAACTAGTATCCATTGGCTCCATTCGCAGCTCCATTGAACTCCACTGCCAACCCTGCTAGCAGGTATAATGTTGGGATATTTCAAATACTAATTAGGCAAAATGATATAAGATCAATTAATAATATTACTATAATCAGATTTTATGCATAAAATTGATTAGCAAAATTGATACATCTTTACTAGTAAATTACTATGAAAAAAAGTGATTAAAAAATTGGTGTAATTCATGCACAAATAATTTTTTTGAAGCAATTTTTGTAGCAAACAATTGGTACAATATTGCCAAATAAAGTTACGATTTAAAATCTTTAATTAATCGATCATTTTTGATTATTCTATTAGTAGTAATTTTTTCTTTTGTTTTGCCATATATGCTCTAGCTAAAAGATGAGCATTTGTCATGAATTGGTTTTGATAACTAAAAATTTAAAATCGTAATTGTGTGAAGAGGTTCTTAACCATATTGTATGTAAAGTTTTATTAAAAGTTATTATGATAGTTTTAATGCAGAACCATTTTAAAATCAACTTTTATGATCTTAAATATTCTAATTAAAAAATCATACATGTTTGTTACATGAATTGGTCTTGATAACCAAAATTAAAAATCGTAATTGTGTGAAGAGGTTTTTAATCATATTATACGTAAAATTTTATTAAAAATTATTATGTTAGTTTTAATGCAGAACTGTTTTAAAATCTAACTTTTGTGATCGTTAAAAATTCTAACTAAAAAAATATGCATGTTTGTTTCGAGTTGGCTTTTGTTAATAAAGATTTAAAAATGTATTGAGAGTACCTCGAAACAGTTTTTGCATATTATAATTTTCCAAACATCATGTTTTAAATCTAACTTTTTGTCAAAATGACTGTGTCGAAGCATAAAGTGCAATTAAAAAATGCACTTAAATCAATGGCCGAAAAGCATGAAGCAAATTTGTGCACAAAATTTATTGATAAAATAACCAAGCATTTAAAAACAATTTTTATTAAAGAACTTTAAATTATATATGATAAAATCTTTAATAACTCGAATATTAATACCCCCACATATAACACAATAATTCATACTCTTAACGTTATGCCCGAAATGGATCTTAAGTCAACGTCTCATCTTTTGCAGAATATGAAATACTCGTATGGAAAAAATCAAGATCGAATTATGTCTCCATATATTCAAAAAAAGGCTTTTCAATATATATCTAATTCTCTTTATAAACCCGGAGAATCAGTACAAAAATTAAGCCACAATAACAAACAGCTCAAAAATAAGATTCAAAAATTACAACATAAAGTTAGAAAGCTTAATGGTTCTATAGCACAATTTAAGCACAAACGTCATCAACATGTATCTCAAATTCACGCAGTAACCCGACGCTCATTAGAATTAAAAGGCAATAATATAAAAGTCATGATTAGAAATTTGATAAAAAAAAATAAAAAAGAGTATAATGCAGACTTTATTGGACTTACCCTACAAGTTTTTCAGATCGGCCAAATATCTTTTAATACCATGGCGGCTAGTATAAATACCATTTTTAATTTTTTAACAGGAGATAATTCACAATCCTGGATTTTTGCAACAACTATTAGCTATTGGCATCACGAGGTATCTGAGTTACATGTGAGAAACATATTCCAGCAAGCCAATCAATCAACTTATTTTATATTTGAAATAATGGCTGATGAGTCTAGTTGTGGTGAAAAAAAGATATTAGTAAATTGCTTTATGTTTTGGAATTCTACAAAAAATACACCTGATTTCGTATTATTAGAGACAAAAGATCTTAAACATTGTAATTCTGATACGGTCAGCCAAGCTCTTGTTGAATCTTGTGCTAAATATAACCTTGATGTTTTGCGATGTCTTACTTTTCTTTCAGATAAAACAAATTACATAAGTGGCCACGTTGGAGGTGCTGTAGCAAAATTTAATCAGTTAACTAAAAGTGATTGTATTAGAATTCCCTGTGGATTACACGTATTACATCTAATCCTAAACAATTTTGAGGAAGTGGCCTTCAGTAAGCTTTCAACAAATACCAGGTTTTCAAAAACACGACACCCATTTAATCTTCTCTATTTGGTATGGATGTTGCATGATGGGTATAGTAATAGTGATAAGGATTCACCTTTAAATATGAAAAGTGAAACAATTAAAAATCTTTATAAAACGCAACTTGATTACAAATTAGATAAATATCAACACTCGTTACGATCAAGGTGGCAATATGAATTAATTACAGCCAAACAATACCTTGAAAGACGTGAAATTCATATTCAATTTGTTGAGTATTTCTTCCAAAGCTAAAAACTCTAAAAAAAGCGCCACAATCTTATATTGAAAAATGGGAATTACTTAAGAATTGGTTAAACGATTCTAAACTAAATATTGAAATACAATTTTTAGTTAAATTTGGCCAAGAATTTTACTGCCCATATGCTGAATTTCTCATCGGTTATAATCCTCAACCACGAGTTGTACAATCTGATAATTTGTTACAGTGTTTGCCATCTGGTCATCAGGCTTATCAGATACCGGATTTCATTATTAACTCAACATGCAAGCTTACAAGTATCTTAGAAAATCCTTATCTGTTTTTAGGCGGTGAGCTTTTGAAGAGTATGGAATTTATGAATGGTTTAGAAATTGAATTATTAGTTCAAAGATTGGAGCACAAAATACAAAAAGATCTCGAATTACATCAAAAATGGTTAAATTGTTGGCTTCACCTTCCTTTAATCATGTGTTGTCTTGGTGGAGATAATGCTAAACAATTTGTACATAGTTACTGGCATGTTGTTCTTAAAAAGTCTTGGCTAGAGGTTCCTAGTTTAAAAGAACTTTGCTATGCAAAGTTTCTTGAAAAAGACATTGTAGAAAAAAACTTTAATGATTTTGGGTTTAAAAATGCATTAACAGAAAAATTATTCTTTCAAGAATTTAGCTTATTTGTTAATGAATCGATGGTTCTACTTCACCAATGTCCATGGCTCTATGATTTTGTTAAAAACAAGATTTGGTACATTATCATTCATCAGCAACAGATCGAAGGCTTATTTAACAAGTGGGATTTTAAGACTCACCCCAATATGAATGATGAGACTCGGCAATCTAAAATGCGCCTTTCAACAGCTGAAATAGAAGAATTTCAATTTACTAATAAACAACTAAAGGTGATTCGAAGCAAAAATAGAATGGCTTACAAGCAACAAGATTCCGCTTCATTAGTTCTCCAATCGGATCTCCAGCGAGAACAAACTGCAAATAATCTTTTTAAAAAATTATTTACATGTCGTTAAAGTTTTTTTTAAAAGTTTTTATTATTAAGTTTTATGTAACGGCAATAATATCGATCGATAATTTTTTTTTCGTTACACATAGATCTTGAATTTTATTGGTTAAATAACATTACCAGGGTATAGTTAGAATCTGCATGGGTGCAGAATTGTCAAATAATACGTAAAAAATCTGTACTAGTAAATTTTATTATGATACCTCATATAGACCTGATTACTTAATATATGAAATACCTAGTATGACGTATACACTTACGGAAAGAATTTTATATCAATTCCGCAGATTTTATATTAAAATTAATAAAAATTTGTCACATGATTTTAATAAAAATTTGCGGAAATAATGTAAAAATTTTTCCGTCAGTGTTTACATAGTACCTGCCAATAAAAAGTTGTACCTAAATTTTAATACGTTACATCCCAACATTTCGAGTTTGGCCGCACCTCTAGTATCAAATTCTCTGAAGATCCAGTAGTGTTAACGTTATTTGCCATTTTTATGCAAATCATTAACCTTATGACGAATTGACGAATGACGAAACCTATGAAGATTATGAAATATAAGACTGCTATAATTTCTTTCATAAGTAAACTAGTTAATTTTATCCAGAGAGCGTTATAAATGAGCTTGTTGAAATAGGGGACTATATTTTTATATTTCTTTGCCAAATTGATTCGTCAAAAGTTTCGTCAAGGGTTTCATCAATTGTTAAAGTTTCATCAGGCATCATTACTATCACCACTGGTGATAAATAGTAACCTTCTAAATGTAAAATTGTTTTTGAAATATTATGCAAAATGTATAACTAGAAATTACTATTAAAAGTTAACAGTGCCTTTTTATTTAATTTCCTTACTATTCTATTAATAAAATATAGTACTGTATTACAAATAAAAATTTGGAATTGTTCAAATTAACGACTTTCAAACACAATCACTATAAGTATAAATGCAACATTTGTTTCTAACTATAAAATCAACTAATCCCACTTTAATTTTATAAACCAACAGCTTAAAATAACTAAATAGGCAGTATATTTACATGCCAAATAATAATGTGAATAAAATATTCTTATTCATGATATTTTGTTTTTTTATTAGCTATAAAAAAGTATTTATATATTAATAAGCATTCTTACATACGGTATTACAGTATTAATAAATTAAAATTCATTAAATACACACGTGAATCATCGTTATAGTAGTCATCAGAAATTGAAACATTCAATTTTCTAGAACCTAAAATTAAAAAGTAATTAGAAAAACTTTTAAAAACCAGATATAATAAGTGTAATTATCTACCAGAAATTTTCAGCAACTCTGCAGATAAAGAATTAATTGGTTCAGAAAGGTTTTTAAAATTAAGCAGTTTACTTGTAAGTTTATCATTAGAACAAATTGGTAGCTCAGTTGATAAAGTTGGAATAATTGCATCCGCAGAAAGGAATGTTATTAATATTGTTAATTCATTTGTATCTTTTGCACCATGATCTACTATATTATACCATCTTAATAATTTATCATAAATATAAGGTGCGGATGGTCTATTAGAAGGATTAGCATCCATACATTGATTCGCTAATTGAATATAACACCCTGGAGTACCTTTAGAAAATTCAGGACGTAATCCGTTACATATTTGAATAGCCAATGCTTCATCATATTCAACATCATAATGAGGTGGCCTCCCCGAAGATATTTCAGTCATAATAATACCGAAACTATAGATGTCCGCAGCTATTGTGTATGGTAGTTTATTTAACACTTCTGGTGCAACATAAGGTAAAACACCGTAAATGCTGTCTTCTAAATCTGATTCATCCTTCTTTCTGGATAATCCTAGATCTGCCATGTAAGACCTTAGAACTCCATTAATATTTTGATGTCGTAATATGTTACCGCTATGAAGATCTCCATGAATAATTTGCTTTGTGAACTATTGATAAATTTCTTGATATATCAACAAGTTGTTTTAATTTATTTTTCCATTTAAGTTTTCTAAAATTTGTTGTTAGGAATTTATGAAGACTTCCTTGATTTGCATATTGAAATACCATCAAACATTCATTGTTTGTTGTGCTTCGAGTTAGCCCATACACTTCAAGATCACATCCCACTAATCTAAATTCTGTATAACTTTTAAACTTATTATTGAATAAATAAATTTATATTATTATTTATATTATTAATTTGTCTATATTAAGTCATGAAAAATCATTTTAACTTACTTCTCTTAAAAAATTCTTTTGTGAACCGGGTAATGTCTTAAGTGCAACTTTATATGGTGATGTGCGTGATTGTCCGCCTGAAACTATTCTTTTACCATCTAGCCACATTGCTGAAAACACGGTGCCAAATCCCCCTTCTCCAATTTTTCGAATGTTAACTAATCTATTAAAAGGAATCCATTCAATTATATCTGCGTATTCTGTAGCTTTAAGTTGAAATTCTTTAATACAATCATCGACATCCTTATTTCTACTCGTCCATCCTTGTGTTGTTTTCTGAGGGTCACATATTTGACACCAAGCTGGCGATGTATTATAGCGGTTGCAATTTACACATTCTCCGTTAATCAGATGCCTTTCAAAGTCAAAAATTAATATATAATCGTTTGTTGCAGTGTCTTGAGTTAGCCCATATACTTTAAGTTTATCATCGTTTGATTGCATAAAATCCTTAAACTTATAAATATAACTTGTAAATATATAATATTAATTCAACAAATATGTAAATAATAAGCTAAAATTTTAATTAAAAAATCCAATGAATTTTGAGAATCATCTAATATTTTAAACATTACTTTATACGATGGCATACGTGACTGTGTCCGTCCAACTCTAGTGTAATTTACGTATCGTATTCCATCTAGCCAGGTTGCTAAAAATTTATCACCAATATTTTGAATATTATCTAATTTATTAAAAGGAATCCATTCTAATACTTCTTCGTATTTTGTAGCTTTAAGTTGAAATTCTTTAATACAATCATCGATTTCTTTATATCCACTTGTCCATCCCTGTGTTGCCTTCAGAGGGTCACATATCTGACACCAAGCTTCAGAAGTATTATATCGATTGCAATTTGTACATACTCCATATTCATAATTTCTTTTAGATTCAAATTCTTCTTTTAATACTAACATATATTCATTTGTGGTTATGTTTTGAGTTAGCCCATACACTTTAGGATTCTTTGACTGTACACATTCTATAAACTTATTAAATATTTATAAATATTTAATATGAATTAAAATAAAGTTATATATACTATTGCAGTACAACAATGAATTAAATAATTTATCTTACTTCTTTTAACATCTCTAATAAGTTTTGTGATCTGGTTAATGTTTTAAGTTCCACTTTATATGTTGGTATACGTGACTGTGCATATTTGCCAACAGAATTTACACGCCGTGTCCCATCTAACCAGGTTGCTAAAAATTTGTCCCCAATATTTTGAATATTATCTAATCTATTAAAAGGAATCCATTCTATTACATCTTCGTATTTTATAGCTTTAAATTGAAATTCTTTAATAAAATTATCGACTTCCTTATTTCCACTTGTCCATCCTTGTGTAATTTTTGTAATTTTATAAATGTCGCATGTCTGACACCAATCTAATGATGTGTTATATCGGTTGCAATTTGCACATTTTCCATTCGAATCTTCTCTTTTAGAACTAAATTCATCAAATACCAACATATATTCATTTGTGGTTGAGTTCTGAGTTAGTCCATATACTTTAAGACTCTTTGACTGTACATAATCTATAATCTTATTAATATTTAAATTATGAATTAAATAAAGTTGTATATAATAATGCAATATAATAATGATTTAAATAATTTATCTTACCCCTTTTAGCATTTCTAATAAATTTTGTGATCTGGTTAATGCTTTAAGTTCCACTTTACAGTACATACTGGTATACGTAGCTGTGTATATTCAAATACACCTCCGCCTACGCATCGTATTCCATCTAACCAGGTTGCTAAAAATTTATCACCAATATTTTGAATATTATCTACTAATACATCTTCGTATTTTGTGGCTTTAAGTTGAAGTTTTTTAATACAATTATCAATTTCCTTATTTCCGCTTGTCCATTCTTGCCATTCTTGTGTAATTTTATAAATGTCACATGTCTGGCACCAAGCTAAAGATGTATTATATCGGTTGCAATTTGTACATACTCCGTATTCACGATTCCTTTTGGTTTTAAATTCATCATATACCAACATATATTTGCTTGTAGTCGTATTCTGAGTTAGTCCATATACTTTAAGATTCTTTGACCGTACATAATCTATAAACTTATTAAATATTTTATAAATATATAAAATTTGAATTAAGATAAAGCAACATGCAGTAATACATTACGATAATATTTCAAATATTTATCTTACTTCTTTTAACATTTCTAATAAGTTTTGTGATCTAATTAATGTTTTAAGTTCCACTTTATATGATTGTATACGTGACTGTGTATATTTATATCGATATCCATCTACGCATCGTATTCCATCTAACCAGTTTGCTAAAAATTTATCACCAATATTTTGAATATTATCTAATTTATTAAAAGGAATCCATTCAATTACATCTTCGTATTTTGTAGCTTTAAATTGAAATTCTTTAATACAATCATCTACGCTCTTATTTCCACTTGTCCATCCTTGCATTGTCTTCTGAGGATCACATGCCTGACACCAAGCTTTAGATGTGTTATATCGGTTGCAGTTTGCGCATTTTCCATCCCAAAAGTTTCTTTTAAAATTAACTTCATCATCCATAATTTTAAGGTGTAGAAAAATTAACAGTAACAGAAACGGAGTAAGAACGAAAGATGCTCTCAAATCTGTAAAACCCATTTTTCATATGCAAATATGTATTTGTGTAACTTTTCGTGTAGGATACACAGTATTTGTATTACTGTATTAATATTTCGAAATAAGTACAGTCAAATTAAAAAATTAAAAACTAGGTGTGAGTATTTAAGTTTTTATCATGTCGAACTTATCCCACGAAAAACGATTGTGTGTCCGCTTGAGAAAAAAGGATGAATTTTTTTTAGCTCAGGAATTGGCATCGGTTCAAAGATTAATAGAAGCAATTTATTTATATTGTAATAAATAAGTAAAGTGTAGCTTTAGTGACACATTAAATGATATTACATGTGCCGCAATAATACGACGACGTATCCGAAAAATGTATAACGTACCAGGTTGATATGATATAGTGGCTATATAGGAATTAAATTCACCGAGATGAATGATTTTTACATGTTGATAATAATGCTACAATTGTTCTCTTGCCATTTTTACTATACGTAAAATAAATAGTGAAAGTGTTTCGTAATAATAATACCCTGACGTTTCACATGATATAATACCTGTTATATAAAATGATATTATCAAATATCATTTTCTCTTTTAAAACATAACAGCAAAAAAAAATAAAAATAAAAAAGTTCCTTTATAAAAGCTAACGATTTTCATTCAACTTACAGTGTTTCATCCAACGTCCGTAAAAAATTTGAAAAACTGTCAACGGAAAACTTGTGTTGGTAAAAGAATCATCAACCGCAACCTTCGTAAAGATGTCCAAGCTGCTATGAATGTTATATCTATTTTATATTTATTATATACTATACATTTAATTTAAATTTTTATATTTAGAAGAAAGATAATAATGGAGCCGAAGAAAGCAATGAATGTTATGGTGACGGCAATGAAGTTAACCAATGAATATAATAATGACATATTGATACGAATTATGATAAAAATGATGAAGACCAGGCCAATTCACTTATCAGATCTCGATCCGATTTCTCTTTATTCTTTTATCTATTCCACAAGCAACTCAGCAAGATGATATGGTTCAAGGATTTCGGTATAACAGCTTTAATTTTACTAGTTGTAAAGTCAAAATTTTTTTGCCGATGAAAATAATTTTAAATTTTTAAAAAAATTTCAATGTATGCTATAAAATGCTGTAATAACTACCGGGTTGTTATTAAAGAGAAATACAAAATTCTTTGAAGTAACTACAGTTTAATTTAACCCAATCCAGGTTTAATCGTGGAAAATGTCTAGTCTCTGGATTTATCGTTAACTGTTCTACTACAACAACTCGTATTATTTCATCGACAATCACCACATTTCACCGACAATTCATCGACAAGTTCATTTTACTGATAGTCTATTTCACCGAAGCTTATTTCATCGACAAGTTTTTTTTATAAATTACACTAACTTTAACTCTAATTCTAACCTAACCCTAATGATATTGACCAGAGTTACTTTGTCTGTAAAATGAGCTTCGGTGAAATAAACCGTCGGTAAAATGATTGTCGGTGAATTGATCGGAACCCCAAATCAATTTCTCGTTAATATTAAACCTTTTAAAAAAGTTTATAAAGATTCTTTATTATTGTTAATGGATAAGACGTTAAGTATATTTCATCTTTTTTAATACAAAGAA